AAAATGATGAATGTAAAGAAAAATCAAAACAGAAAAGTTAAATGATTTTTTGATTTTTCACCTGAGCGTAAAATAACTGTACCTGATACTGATTCTTCAAACAGCCCAAAAAACAATTCTTATCAAGATGACGGTTGGGAAAAGAAGTTTATGGTAAATATAAAGCATATATAATATTTTAATACACTTAAAACATATTATGTTTATTGAAAAATAGCCCATAGTTTAGTAAATTATTAACCAAATATTTATTTTTATTTCAACAAAAGTAATTGTATTAATAAAATAATAGATAATTATATTTGAATCATTGTTCTTATGGTTTTGTAAACATTGCTTAATATTAAGGATTCTTTATATTTTATAAGTACATGTTTTGACAGAACATGTTACATATATTTTCTTATAAGTTTATTCAGATCTTCATATTCGTTTCATTATTAAATATTAATTATAATAAAAATTACATTTTTTTAAATTGTAAAGGATCGGTTTGGTTCAATGCCATTATATAATTTGATATTATTTATGTTATCTTGGTAAAAATTAAATTTTAATTTATAAATTAAAATTTAAATTGTTTAAAAAATTGTATATATGTATTATTTCTATTTTTGATAATTTATTCTTTTTAGCCTATTAGTCCAGAAAATAAGAAAACATCTCCTAAAGATGAACTCGATCATTCTATATTAAATATGGATTTTTATGATTCAGCAAATAGAGATCAAACTCTTCAGATTATATCAAATTCGCCAAATAAAAGGACATTATAAAAACAGAAGACAAATCACTAGATAATTTAAGAACTTTAGTTCATAATAAACTTGGTATAAACATTGAAGGTTCAGATGAATCAGATATTTTACTGTCAAAAATCAAAGATATTGTTGAGATATTTGACAGTACACAAGTAGGTCTAAATTATGATTATTTTTATTACATAGTCGATATATCCTAAAAATCACTTGAAATATTTTAGAAATCTAAAGCGGAGCTTGAGGGAAACATGAATAATCTGAAAAAAATGTATATCGAAATTCTGGAATTTATGCATCATTTTTAGACAAGGTTCCATTTAAAGTACTGTGTGAATTACCAGGCTTCAATGAAAATCTTTTTAAGAGTGCAGAACTTTTAAAACATAAACTCAAATTAGAATTAAATTTATTGCAAAGTAAGATCAATAATTTAGAGCAAGATAAAAGATCCGCCACATGTGATAAGGAGTTTTTAGGCAATTCGAATACACTCAGTAATAAGGAAAAAAATAAGGAAGGACATTTAGAATGTAGTGCCAGTTTAAAATCACAATCATCTAACATTGATCTTATGGTTGAAAAAAGTATTATTAACAAAAACATAATTAATGATAGCTTGGATAGTTCCTCAATTACATGTGATAAAAATAGTGATAAATCAAATCATAAAGTATTTAATTTAAATCACCTGCCATAAAATCTCGATCCAAAATTATTTATGATGATGATAAATGATAATTTGATCAACAGACAGATCAACAGAACAACGACAACAGAAATTA